GGAGGCATTGTTGCCGTAAGTGGAGCGGAAAGGCGGCCGGAATCGGGCTGCCCGCTTCGCGCCCCGCAAAGTAAAAGCCTGAGGACTGGGGAGAGCGGGCGAGAAGTGTCCCCTGTTTGGCAACGTACGCCCCTCTCCCCCTCCCCCCAGGTCGTGGTGGAAATGAGCGGCGGCGCTTCAGCTGCGGCTTCGGCAGTGCCCGCGGGCCCGCAGCTAGCGGCTCCCGCCTGCAGACTAGTTGGACCTGAGATGGCTCAGGGGAGTGGGTGCAGGGGACCCGGGAGTAGGGAGCACGGGAAGCGCTCCCGGCCGGGCCTCCACTTCCTGCGGAAAGCGACCTTGCTGGGACAAACGGCAGTGTATTTCAGCCTCGAAGCCGCACTTTGGGCTCTTTTCCAGCTCGGGGGAGCTGCAGACGCGTGCCTCCGAGCCTCGCGTGTCTTTGCGGGCCGACGGGAGCCGCGGGGCCCCCTCCGCTGGCCAGCGTCCTCCCAACGGCCAGCTTTCTTATCCCCGCACCCCGCCAGCCAGCCGACCGGAGGGCCGTCGACGAGGAGCCGCGGGGCTCCGAGGGGTGGGGTAGAGGGGTACACGGGCTCTGGGACCCCTGCCTGACCGCCTTGCAGAGGCCTGGGAAGTCCTGCGCGGGGTGGGTGTCCGAGTGCCCCATGGCGCAGGAACAAAGCGCCGGTCCGTCCTGCTGCTCCCAACCCCAGCTGGCTTTTCCCCTGTGGGTGGAAAGTGGGTCAACTCTCCTCTGGCCTGAGTGGGCCTTTGGGGTTACTTGGGTGGGACCCAGGCCCCCATCCTCAACCTCACAACTCGTGGCTTTGGTGTGGTCACGAGGACCCGCTAGAGGCAGCAGCGGTGGGGGCAGCTTACACACATGGCTCAGGAAGCTCGGGTTGCTGGTCCGAGTGGCTGCCAGGCTCTGAAGTTTCGGATTGACCACACCAGTAACTAAATATAGGAGCAGCTGGTGCGGGCGGCGTGTCGCAGCAGCTCCTTTGCGCAGATAAAGTTGAGTTCTTGCTGGGAAGGATGGGGTGGTGGCAGGGGGCCGTCAGCAGGGTTTTAGCAAAAATGGCCCTCCCTGTGCTCCCCCAGCCTTGTATCTCTCCGGTGAAAGCAGGTGATGGGGATGGGAAGGCAGCATCCTCAGCTCCTACAAAACAGGCCAACTGTTTGCCTGACTTCTGTCTTCACCAGTTTCATCCACTCACCGGTAACCCCTTAGCACAGATCATTTACTTCTCTCAACAACCTAAGGTGGAAGACGGACAGTATTTCCGTTTTACAAATGGAGCCACTTCCAACATAGTGAACTTACCAAAACACTAGTTGGACTGGGCTGCTCTCCCTTAATTTTAAAAATTTTTTGTAGCTCCCTTCAGAAAAAGAGAACCGTTTTATAAAAAGTCACCCACGTCTGTAACCTGGAAGCAGGTTACCTGCTTGCTCACCTCTCTCCTACAGCTTTTTTCTGGCACCTGTTGCTCAGACCCTGCTGTGTTCCCGCTCCCTGGCAGTGCGGCACCTTCATGGTTGAGCATTGGGTCACACAGCATCTGTGTGCCTCTGACTTTGGGCCCTCCCAGCAGCTGCCTCACACTGCCTTTTGTTGGTGGGTCTCTTTTATCTGGCCTTTATCTGGCTCATTCTAGCCAATACTCTTTACTTCTAGTGTGAGCCGTTTAGCAGGTGTCCAGATGTTTGTTGGATTTAAACATTCCATGGGATTCTGATAGAGGAACGGGGAGTTGGGGATGTGTAGCGACTGACATGTTGCAGGGACAGCTTAGAGCTTGTATTGCAGGGGCCCCAGGACTTGGAGTGCGTTCCTTACCCTTTTCTAAGGCCAGGCAGCAGTGCTACTGGGTTGGCGTGCTCTTGTGCCAGACAAGATCTGAATGGGCTAGTGGCTCCTATTTCCCACCTTTAGGGGTCCTTTCCAGCTCTTTACCACCACCACCACCACCACCACCACTGCAGCGGCACATGGCCCTGCGATTAGGTTCTGCTTCTAGAAAGGCTGCCTCGTGAGCTGGTGGCTCCTATGTGTTGGTTTGATGTTTCTCTCATGGGATTGCATGAGATTGGGCTGCCAGAATGGTATTGATTCTGATTTTACATGCTTCAAAAAGTTTATGTAGGCAAGGGCTGTACACACCTCCGCGATGGCCCGGCCTCGGGGACTTTGCATCAGTCAGGTGGGCCGTAGCCATTTTTCTGATGTGTGCCTCAGCCATTTAAAAAGGATCTTTCTTAGAAACAACAAGCGAACAGAAGAACAATTCTTATTCTTTCTTCCTCCCTGCTCGTCTCTCTTCCATGCTAAAGGAACCCTTGCTTTTTGCCACTCCAGTCTCGCCTTAGGGGAGAAAGGAGTAAGTAGTAAGTGGAGCCCACTCACTCTCCTGTCTTCCCACATTTGCTCTTCCCTCAGTACTCAGGGTCTCTTACCCCATCTTGAAATCTCTGAGTGGTGCAAACGTGAACGTACGGGACCCTTACCAAAAGGTGGGAGGTGTCTGTTTACGCAGAGATACATCGGCAGGAAGGCCTGACTATTTGCTCTTTTAAAAACCAGCCTTTGAAAACCCTGTGGCACACAGTTCTACTCTAGCACACATGGGTTGGAATTGACAGTGCCGTACTGGCCTCCACACCCCAACTTAGGACTTCACTACATGTGGCCTGAAATCCGCCCCCCATCCCCCCAGCTCACAGCCCTGCATGTGCCAAAGGGTGACAAACCTTTGTCTTTGGACTTAGGAGAGGAACCGTCAGCAGATATTTATGAGAGAATTCTCCACTGAAGGAGTTTTGGAGGTGAAGTGAAGGTGGCTTCGCAGCCAGTTGGGAAAGGTAGGGATTTTTGACCAGGAGGAACATCTTAGGAAGTGTAGGGCCCCTCTGTGCTGTACTCAGAGCATCCTCTCGTCTTAATAGGACACCCAGTCTTTACAGATTGTTCCTGGCCATCTGCAGTCTTTGACCCACACCACAGCTTTGAGCTTGTGACCAGGTGTGAGGTTTTGAATCTGTTTTTCAGTGCTGGGTCCATGGCCCAAGCACCATCACTGCTGCCTAATGGCTGCTAGTAGAATTGCAGGCATAGTAACAAAGTACTTCTAGAGACTGCCTTCAGGGTTTTTAGAATGGCCTTCCAGCAGCATCAAGCTTTGTCTAGGAGCTATTATTCAAAAAGCTCCTGCTGATCTAGCTCGCATTGATAGCTTTCTGTATATTTCTCTTCTCTTTTCATTCTTCTGCCGTATACCCGATAGATGCTAAATGTTTGTGAGAGTTGATGGAATTGGAGATGGATGAGAAGATGGATATGATATTGCAGGGAGGGACAGGTCTCCAGCTAGTTAGTTCACTCATCTCTCCTTTGGGTCCTTAGCTTTTCTGTCCACAAACTGAGCAACTTTGCTCTGATTCCTGCTAACCAGGACGCTGTAAAGCTGTTGGATCCAGTCTGCAGCAGTCCCCACCGCTGTGACTGCCCTGCACTGGCGTCCTAGGCATTTGAGTTGATGGCCCTTTTCACTTAGACTGTGTCTCTAAGGAGCCCTGGTGGGGTAGTGGATTGCGCATTGGGCTCTAACTGCAGGGTCTGCAGTTGGAAGCCACTAACCACTCCGAGGGAGAAAGATGAGGCTTTCTGTTTCCATAATCCCATAAAGATTTATAGCCTTGAAAACCCACAGGGGCAGTTCTGCTCTGCCTCATAAGGTAGCTATGGGCCTGAATCGACTCTACAGCAACGGGTTCTGTTTCTTCTTTTTTAAAAATAAATATTTGTTGTCAGAGACGATAGACTTGCATTTGTATTTGAAAAGCATCTGATGGTTTTTTGTCCTCGTGGACGCTAGCTAGTAGAGCATCTGCTTCGTGTCATTTGGCCTGTGGAGTCAGACACATGGAGAGGGACAGTAGAGACTGGCTGGCTCCCCATCCCAAGTTGCCCACAAGCCAAAGGAGGAAATGTAGGCATACTTAAGAAGAGGTCACAAACAACTCAAATGACATGCTAAGACATTAAGTGCTGCTGAAACTTAGTGGGAGGGGAGAACGGGAAGAGCTAGGGCAGTCAGGGAAGACTTCCTGAAGGCGGAGAGCTGAAATGCTACTCATTCCTCAAAGATGAGTTGCGTTGTGTCAGCTTGCCCAAAGCTGTTTCAGTGGGATTAGGTCATGTCTGCATGTGCACTATGTATCCGCCCTGCTAGCACTTATCGAGTACTTACAGGTCCTGGGCTCTGGCCTAGACAGGCAGGGAACTTTTTGTTCTATCCTTATATGAGCCTAGAGAGGTGGGTCTGACTCCATTCCCTATTCAGATGGAGGCCTGGGGCTCTCTGAGCAGCTAAGAAGCTAACAGCTAATAAACGGCAGAGCCCGGCGTTAGGCCTGTCTCCCCACACCAGTCTTTTCCTAGTGCGTCATGTGTCATAAACCATCAGCATCAGCTTCCTTGGCGAAAGAGATGTCTTGATCTCCCTCCGCAGGTGGGTGGGCCTGGCTGAGCACTTGGAACTTTCTGCTGGCATCTGTTAGCCGGTGTGGACACTCCCCCTTCCCCAGCCCCTGACTCTCAGCACGCCTGGCAGGGGGCCGAGGGCCATGCTGCTGGGGTAGGGGTGGGTATGGGGCAGAGAAGAGCACAGGCTGGGGTGCTGGCCATGGCCAAACGTCTCTGGGTGACGTTTGTAGAGAAACGAACACCGGCTGGGGCGCTGGCCTGCCCCGATGTCAGCTGTCATCCAGTCAGCTGTGACCCCAGGTGGCAGAGCAGACCTGTTCCTGCAGCGTTTCAAAGCTGTGATCTTGGAGAAGCAGATAGCTGGGCCTACCCTCCAAGGTGCCTCTGAGTGGGTTCAAACAGGTAACCTTTCAGTGCATAGTTCGGTGCTCAAGCCAAGGACTCCACCCAGAGCTGACATGAGAATTGTCACTCACTGTGGCTGTGAGCAGGTCACTTAGTCCCTCTCTGTGCCTCAGTCCAAACGCTCTGTCATCAGCCCAGCTGGGATGTTTCTGGGGGCTCTTTGGGCCCCAACACTGAATACATTCGTTTGTCTTCCTCACTCTTTTGGAAGCCTCTTCTTTCCCAGTCATCCAATCCGCCTTCTCTCATTTCCACTCCCCCCGCCCAGTGTTCTCTCCTCTCCCCCAGGGTCTTGTTGATACGCTCAGCTACTGATAGGCAGGCCTGCAGGATAGCGCTGCCATTTCGAGTGCGGCCATCGCATGGCAGCCTGAGAGCTCTATGGGGGTAGGGCTGCCGTCCAGTTGCCTTGGGTTTCCACTTCCTGGCACACGGGAGCCTGGTCGAGGAGGCCGGGTGAGTGGGGGTGCGGGAGGCCTTGTGCAAGCGACTGTGGACAGCACGTCAACCCCGAGGCGTGGTTTGAGGGACGAGTGTCTGTGCCAGCAGTTGGCTGTGCCCGCCCCCTCCCACTTCCCCGCCTGTTGAGTGAGGCACAGGCCAGCACACACCGGAGCCCTCATTCCCATTGGCTACCTGTTCAGGCCAGGGCCCGCATCTGGTGAGGTCGCGGGTGCCCATCCTTCCAGGAAACCTGTAGAGCCTGACTGCCCCTACCCCTGACAGGCAAGACTGTCCACTCTTGACAGTCCAGCTGGATGCGGCCTGGGCTCTGGGACCCCAGGAGGAGGTGAGTGGCTTGGGGACCTCCTGGTCGCCTGGCTCCCCCAGGGAAGCCTGGGAGGGACGACACTTGGGTGGGCTTCTGGCTGGTGGGCGCCTCATGGCTCTGCATCTCCCCCAGGCACAGGGCCCTCGTGAGCAGCGGCCTGGCCAGGGCGGCGGCGGTGGCAGGGTGCCCGCGTCTGCATGCTGAAGAAGATGGGTGAGGCCGTGGCCAGAGTTGCGCGGAAGGTCAACGAAACGGTGGAGAGCGGCTCTGACACGCTGGGTGAGTGCCGGGCGCTCGGGTGGGTTTGTGGAATTGGCTCAGAACTGAGAGGACGCCTCCCCTGGCACGGGGAGTGGCTCGTGGAACTCTCCCCAGGATGTGCAGGGTAAGGCGACATGGTGGCACAAATGGTTAAGTGCTCTGCTGCCGCGGGAAGGGTGGCAGCTTGAACCCACCCAGCAGCCATGTGGGAGAAAGCCTGGCCTCCTTCCACAAAGACCAGAGGCAAGCCAACCCCACTCTGTCGGGAGCCACAGGGAGCTGGCAGGGTTCAGTGGCACAGAACCACAATGTTGGGTTGTGAACACCGAGTGCCAATGGAAGACACACTTGTTATCAAGGGACATGGTCATGAGTGAGGGTGTTTTGCCTGCCTGTCTGCCTGTCCGTGGACTGGACTGTGGATGACTGTGTGTGTGTGTGAGAGAGAGACAGAGACAGAGAGCAGTTATCCTATGGGGGGTGGTAGTGGTGGTGGTGGTGGTAGTGTGTGTGTGTGTGTGTGTTTGTGTGTGTATACAGGTCAGTAACCCCAGTGTGTGTATCCCGCTGGCATAAGTGCACCTTGACTGAGCCCCAGACACCCTGTGGGGACCGAGGTTAAGAGGGGAGCACAGTCCTGCCCTGGAGAGGACCGTGCAGATGGAAGGGGTGAGATCTGAGTTGGGCCCTTGGCACAGCGAGGGAGAGGGATTTGACAGACAGGTGTGTGTGTGTGCGCGTGCGCACGCGCGCACGCAGCTTCTTGTCAGGTGCGTCTAGAATGTGGGCCCCTGATGTAGGGGGAGGTGGCCCCGGAAGTGGAAAGATGCTCAGCCTGGTCATCACCTCTCCCAGGAAGCCCTCAGCCCCACCCCACCCTCCCTTTGCTCTCTTCCACCTAGGTAGCTCTCTGCCTCCCCTCGCCAGGGCCTGGCTTAGTGTCAGGCCTTTGCAAGTTCTCTGAGGTGTTTGATGCAGCCCGCTAGGCGCTGTTTATCTTAGTGTGAAGCCTCTGGGGAGAACCTTGTGAGCTGCACCCCCAGTAGAGGAATTCTGAATCCTATCCTGTCCCAGCTCTGACTCTACCACTAAGGTGGCGGTGGGGGACAGGACCTGGCTTTGAACCCCCACTCCTTGACCTGCTTAGCCTGGCCCTTTAGCAGGGGGCTGAACTTGCCCGAGCCTTAGTCTCTTCCTCTGTAAAGTGGCCTGGAGATTGCGTCCCCTCAGGAAGGCTGGGAGGGATTGCAGTGGCTGTAAGGTGCTTGGTATGTAATGAATTCAGGAAATGACAGCTATTATATTTAATTCTTCTCACCCTCGAAGGCTGGGGCTAGAGTCTAAATCTATTCTCCACCCCCACCCTCTAGCCCGATCCCCTGTCAGGCGTCAGCCAGCGAGCCACGCCTGGTTGAGTTGGCTCACATCACCTTTGAGTGTGTGTGTGTGTGTGGGAGGGCGGGCGGGTGGTGGTGGTGGTGGTGGTAAGGGGTGGGCAGGGTTAAGCGCACATCAGCAGATGTCTGGCGTGGGTATCTTAAGCCAGTCAACGTCATGTGTAGCCAGAGCAAAGTCGCCCTTCCTCGGGTGTCATCTGATGGCACCAGGCCTCCAGGCCTTTCTTCCACAGTGCTTCTGGGTGATTCTAGGGAGTCTGTGCAGCCCCTGCCGGAAAGCAGCTGAGGCTTATTTTCGGCTCAGCCTCCCCCAGAAGTGAGCAGGGCTGGAGGCGGCTGAGGAGGGAGGGGAGAGTCCTGGGAGAGGGCGATGCTGTGGAGAGTGGCTTCCAGGCAGCAGCAGTGAGGGGACCGGTGGGAGGAGCCCTACAGAGATGTGACTGCAGCAGGGGGTACAGCTGAGGGATGGTCCCCAGCTGGTGGGGTGGGGTTGGGAACATTCTGAAGAGTCTGTCCTTCTAGGTGTGTGGCCCAGGACTGCACACCCAGGGGCCTGTGCACTGGAGGGAGGATGCCTGACCTGGTGGTGGAGTGCATGGGACATGCAGGGTAGTGGCCATTCCTCCGCACCCCCAGGGGAGGTGCTACCCCCGAACCCAAGCCGGGCCCTGGCTCCTGCACCACTTCAGTGCCTGGGGCCTGGAATTTGGGACCCCCCAACTATCTCACCCAGCATTTGGGTCCCTGTCCTGCCCTTGCTGCCCTGGGGTGTCAGGGGGCATGGTGAGGATGTGAGGGTGTTGGCATAGCACAAGTCAGTTCCCAGCGGAGGAGGAAACCTTTCGGCCATGGGTGCTCTTTTGTTTCTTAACTTTTCGTTGTGAATTGGGTAAAGGTTTGCAGGGCAAACCGGTTTCCCATTCAACCATTCCTACACATTGTGTTTCACGCCCACTGATTGCCCTCGCCACAGTGTTAATGTCGCATTCCCTTTCTACCCCTTCTGTTTCCTGACCCTGCTGAACAGTTAGTGTCTTTGGACAAGTGCTCTTTGCCTCGCAGATGGTTGATGATTCTTGCGCCTCCCTGGTGCCACTGTTTCCCCCATGAACCTGTCTGTTGTCGGGCTGAAACTGAGCCAAGGGGTGGGTTCATTTCCAGTCCTTAAGGCCCTAGCCTCAGGGGTCCCACAGGTTTCTGACCGGTCAGCTGGTGTGTTTTTGAATTTTGAATGTTGCTCCACCTTCTTCTTCCCCTCTACACAGGACCTTCTAATATGATCCTTTTCGGAGAGGTCACTGGGGTTAGTCGGGCCTCCCTGGGTCTTCTGGTCTCAGGGTTAGGGACATTCGACTGTTTTCATATGCTTTAATTTTCTTCACTCTCCTGTGCTCTGGACAGAGAGAGACCACCAGCGGTGCCTTATGTGGCTGCGTCTAAAACCCCCATCACTACTCACCAACGTAGGATGGACAACATTGTCTTTGTGAACAATGGGATAGCAGTTGGCCCTGATGTCCCCTGGGCCTATGGTCCTAAGCCTCGAGGCCCAGGTTCTGCCCATCGAAGCCCAGGTCCTGCCCAAAGCTTGTGATCGTCCGGTGGAGGTGACTGGGTCTTTAAACTTAGATGAAAACAGTAAGGGGAGGGGCGGCATTTTGACCTTTTAGCAAAGTGCTTGTTTGTACCGAAGCTACCCATTAGGTGACTGGCTGGTACCTGTGTCCATCCGCTAACTAAACGGTGGTGGTGGGAACCAGCTATACTAAGTGTATGTATGTGGATGTAGGAAAAACGTGGATGGGAAGGAAGCAAGCAAGATGCAGATGGGAGCGAGAACATGGGGTTAGAGAAGTGGCCAGCTCCAGGGTGACTTCTCACTTCTGTCCCCTCATTGCCACTCCCGCCACCACTACATCGGTGATGCTGCTCCAGGCTCCCCTGGTCCCAATCACCTGCCCCTCCCTGCCCCTACAGTACTTTCCACATCCCGGGGAGATTGGCCCAAAGCTAAGCCTCCAATTGGGCCCTGGAGGCCCCTGCAGGCCCCGCCAGTGGGGAAGTGAGGCGCTAAGGCTCTTAGCAGTCAGCAGGCAGTGGGCACCTGCTGTGTGTGGGCTGGGGAGGGGCTTTCAGGCCTGTGTGCAGAGGAGTCCAGGACCCGGGACCAGCTCCCCCACCGTGAGACAGTCAGAGAGCAGCAAGTGAACCAAGGGGATCCATGCTCAGCCATGTTGGACAGATCACTCGAACCCCAAACCACACTCACTGCCATCAGGTACTTGCCAGCTCATAGGGACCATATAGGACAGGGTAGAACTGCCTTTGTGAGTTTACAAGACTAACTACTTACAGGAGTGGAAAGCCCTGTCTTTCTCCTGAGGTGACTGGCGGTTTCGAACTGCTGACCTTGCAGTGAACAGCCCAGCGAGTAACCACTACCCCACCAGGACTGCTGGACGGAGGTGGGAGGTAGTATTCCTGAGAGAGTGGGGATTGAACCAGGTCTCGCATAGGTGAAGTAACTCAGTATGGTATTCGTTTAAATTTATGAATCCCCAGGACCCAAAGCCCACTGCCATCAAGTCGTTTCTAACTCTCAGCGACCCTTTGGGACAGAGTAGGATTGCTTCTTAGGGTTTCTGCGACCGTCAGTCTTCACAGGGCCAGAGTGCTGCTGCTCGCTCTCGCCGACCTTTGGCTGAATCTCCGAGAGCTTAGCCCGTGGTGTCGCGAGGGCTCCTGGTAGCCATTGGCAGGGTGCCTCTGCCACCACGTGCTGCATGAGGGCTAGCAAGTTCTCCTGTTTGACAGGAATCAGGAGCAAAGTCCCCAGGATCCCTGACTAGGTTTGTGGAAGATGTCGGTTAGGTCCCAGGGTCTGCAGGTGGGCATTTTCTGAATGTTACTCTGAGGGCAGTCTGCGTGTCCCTTTCAGATCCTCCCACACGAGCAAAGAAACCCACTGCCACGGTGGATTCTGGCTCGCCGCTCCCTGCCATCGAGCAGTTCTGACGCAGAGCAAGCCGGAAAGGCGGAATACGACCGTCCTTGAGGTTCCGGAGTGCACGCCTCGTTTCTCTCCTGTGGAGGGACCAGTGGTTCAAACCGCTGACCTTGTGCTTGCACGTCCCGACACGGACCCACTGTGCCAGCAGGACTGTTATTTTTATCATTTATTGGGGGCTCGTACAGCTCTTATCACCATCCATCCATCTATTCATTGTGTCAAGCGCATTTGTACCTTTGTTGCCATCATCATTCTCAAAATGTTTTCTTTCTACTTGAGTCCTTGATATCAGCTCCTCATTTTTCCCCTCCCTCCCCCGCCCTCTCTCCCTCATGAACCCTTGCTAATTTAGAAATTATTATTATGTATTCATGTCTTACACTGACCGATGTCTCCTTTCACCCACTTTTCTGTTGTCCGTCCCCCTGGGAGGGGGTTATATGTGGATCCTTGTGATCGGTTCCCCTTTCTCCACCCACCTTCCCTTTCCCCTCCTGGTATCACTACTCTCATTGTTGGTCCTGAAGGTTCTCTCTGTCCTGGATTCCCTGGTTTTCCAGCTCTTATCTGTACCAGTGTACATCCTCTGGTCTAGCCAGATTTGTAAGGTA